TGCAAATTGTAACCCAACACAGGGCTGTAATTAAAGGGCAGGGGCTGTAGTGATAAAATCTCCCTCCCTGCAGGGGCCCAGGTAAGGGGGGAGGTGGTTTTTTTTTGGTAGATTTACGTTTCCATGGTTCTGTTGGAGCATCAAAGAGCTGAAGGAGCACTGCAAGGACTCAGGTGGTTTCTCTGCTGCTTGCAAAAGGTGGAAACCTTCAGTTTGCTGAAAATAGAGAGTTTCTAGGAAGCCAAACAGGAATGCAGCTTCCTCCTCTTGATACACCAACCTATGACCCACCCTGTGCACAGGGGCTTAATTCTGTGGACGTGGAAATCAAGGTTTCACTGGAAGGATTGAGCTGCACCATAGGAAAAGAGGACACCGTGGTGTTTGTAACAGGTTGTGGGAGTAAGGAGGAGAGGTGGGAAGTTATTTCCTTCAGTGGCTCCATGTCCATCCCTTGTGCCTCACTTTAAAAGGCAGCTCAGCTCCTCTGAGTTAAACTCCAACGTTGTGAGTGTCCACCACTGAGCTGACTGGGATGAATTTCACTGCTAGGACACAGCTCATCTGCTTTTTTTGGATGTTTCCAGTCAGATGTGATGAATTTCTGCCTGGAGGAGAGTCTCTCTTTCTGCTGAGTGTAAAATGGCATCTAGAAAAAAAAAAGTCTGGTGGGGATCCCTCCTCTGTAACCATCTGAGCACAGCTCCACGTGCACCACTGCCCAGATCACTTCTGCAGACTTCTCCTCTGGAGGTCTAACTGTAGAGACCTTCTTATGCCTCTTTTTCCCTCAGAGCAACACGAGGGCTTTGGAATGAGATGAATTCACTCACTCAGATGTCCACGGGTGTCCCACCCTGCAGCCAAGGCTGGTGTGGTGGAGTCACAGTGGGGCTGTGAGGGCAGAAGGCTCCTGGCAGCCTCCCTGGCTTTAGAGAGGAGGATGAAGTTTATGAGGATGTTTATGGAGGTTTGAGGACAGTGCTTGAGTCACCTCCATGCAGCCAGGTCTCTTGCTCTCCCTTGCCAAGGAATCCTTTCCCAGACACTGTTCGATGAGTTGGATCCATCCCAAGCCTTGGAGAACTCACCTGTGTGCCTGGGTACCCAAGTCAAAGATGATTTTGGTGTAAATCTTCCACTTCAGTCCAGCTTTATAATGTCTCAGCTTCAGTTGGCTGAGATCTGAGACCACAGAGCATTGGACTCTCAACATCATCTGTGTCTGTTTTCTGCCATCCCACCCCATCCCATCCCATCCTCACAGTTTCTTGGGTAGATGTAATGGAGTCTTGCTGGTCCCTTGATGGGATTCAGGTTTTCTCCAGACCTTGGGCTGTCCCACTAGACTCTAGGATTGGTCCTAGATAAGAGGTGACCTCACCTGCCTGCCTCTACTCAGTGTTTCTCCCCAACACCTTCAGAGCTGCACTGGCATCACCAGCCACTGCATGGCACTGTGAGATTGCAGTCAGACTTTCCAACTCCATTTCTTCTCTCTTTCAGTGTGATATCAGATTATCTCCAGGGCTTCCTGCCAACCCCAACCCTTCTGGGCTTCTGTGATGTCTGGGTCCAGCCGTTGCACCTGGTGACACAAAATCTTGGTGCAATGTCCTTATTGTCCATGCTCCTAAACCCAGAGGGATGCTCCTTGGTGGTCGAATGTGTGGCAGGGCTTCTTCTCATGGGTGGTGCTGCTTTGATTGCCATGGATAATTAGGTTGGAGCTCTCCAGGGACTTGCTGCCTATCTCTCTGTCTCACTGATCCTCCCTGTGAGGGGATAAATAGTTCAGACTCTGGCATGCTCGTGGCATTGTTATGCAAATCAGCTCCCACTAAAATAGGACCTGACCCCCCAGGATGTCCAGACCCCCTCCCTTGCCTGACTGACAGTACAAAGACCTCTCCACCTGGATTTAGATGCCTGGAGGTACTTTACATTGAACCTCCATTCCTGGAGAAAGGTGGTGAATGATGGATGAGGTTGAGGCTTTTTGAAAACTTGGTCTTGGCTCTGATGTTGGATCTCTGCTTCCAGAGATGCCTCCAAGTCCCAGGGAGGGACCTGCTGTCCAGCCAGTCGTGCACCTGCAGGGATGTGTTTCTGTCCTGAAGCTTCCTTTGAACCCTGGGGAGCTCAACATTTTAGATCAACCTACCCAAAGACCTACACTGGCCTGGAATCGTTGAGTTGTTTGGGTTGGAAGAGACTTTTCAGATTGAGTCCAACCATCCCCCAGCACTGCCAGGTCCCCACTGCCCCGTGTCCCTCGCCCCACATCTCCACAGCTTGGGAACCCCTCCAGGGGTGGGGACTCCACCACTGCCCTGGGCAGCCTGGCACAGCCCTGGGCAACCCTCCAGGGCAAGAAATTGTTCCTCAGGGACAACCTCAACCTCCCCTGGGGCAACTTGAGGCTGTTTCCTCTTGTCCTGTCCCTTGTTCCTTGGGAGCAGAGCCCGACCCCCCCCTGGCTCCAGGCTCCTGTCAGGAGCT